ACGTCGGGAAGTCCCCCTGCTGCCGAGAGAGGAAAGAATCGAGGAGGAGGCGGCGAGGTGCCCTTCTGAGTGCGCCCTCGTGGTCACCTGTTCTCTCCCGTGGCCGCCTGTCCTCTCCCATGGCCGGGCGCGAGGGGTGGGGTGACCCGGGACCGCAGCCCCGCGTTGCTCTGCCACGAGGACGATGCCCCACTGGTGTCCAGGGTCTCGGGGGGCCGCCTCTGATGGGTGCTGCTTCTGTGGCATGGCTCATTGCAGGTCCTTCCAGGGCCATGTACCTGCTAGTTAACGTCTCCCTCCCGGCGACGTCCTCGTCACTGGCCCTCATTCTGTGCCCTCACGTGGCATTTCTCCCGACTGCTGATTTCTTTACCACCTACTCGTGGAGATATTTACACTCTTCTGCCAACTTGACACCATTTTTACTGCCCACTCTGCGCTTTTCCAGCCTGAAATGGCACACTCAGACCAAGCTCTGGGTTTTAACAGGCATAGATTCTTGACTTTTTCTCTTCAAAATGATATTTTTAAAAGACTTCATTTTGAAAAATAGCCTAAATTTGGGAAAGCGTTTTCTTTTTGGGTGTGATCACTTTCGATGTTAACGTATTCAAAGAGACCTTAGGAAATGTCCTGTACTTTTCAGTGGTCCAGCTTAGCTGGTTTTAGAAAAATAATTGCTTTATGCAGCTAGCTGGGAGTTTGGGAATGCAAGCATGCTTCTTGGTGTGAATGTAGTGCATAATAAAATAGCCAGGGAATAAATTTAAGTCCTTTAAAGATTTTTCAAGAAGGGCTTTTCATCATTTTGCCATAGAATATTCCATGGCCTGTTTGCCTTAACCTGGTGAACCTTTCTATAGAAAAGTGCAATTGGTTTGGTTTCCTTGGCAACCTTGTGGGGGTGTCTTCCAGTTTGCTACAGCCCATCTCCTACTGAGGATTCTTTGCTTTCTCCTGATGGACCAGTGCTAGTTGCAGGCTGGGAAAAATCCGCCTCTTTGCTCTTGCTGATTTTTCTTCCTGAGATGCACATGGTACCGGAAGTTTTGTGGCTTTTTCTCTTAGAAGTTACTTTGTACCCCAGTCACAAGCCCAGGTTAGTACTGAGATGCAACACTCCTCCCCCAGTTGTTGCCTCCCTTCTACATCCCCTCCCCTGAAATCCCAAAGTCACCCTACTCGCAGGTCTGGTTGTGTCAAGAGTGAAGGCAACTGGTGAGGTTATTTTTCATGTGTGTGTGTGCTTTTTGCTTTTATAATTTTGCTGTTGGCAAAATTATCGAAGTACAAAGCATCTCTTAATGCTGGCAGTAGAATCATGCTTATGGAGTTTGCCAAAGCTTTAATATTAGTCAGCTGGGGATGTTACTCATCATTCTGCCTATAAATATCTGAAATGTGCTTAGTTTGGCCTTTTTAGGTTCGTGATTAATGCAGTTGTTCACTGGGAAATTCACCTCAGTAGATCACTGCCTGTGGCCCCCTGTTGGACTTCAGGCTGGAGTAACTCTGGCGTCCAGGCTTGGAAACTGGCAGGGAATCTTCTCAGGGTTTCCTGTGGACAGGTTCTGCTGTGGAAGACATTGGTTGTCTCGAATTCCTGGCGTCCTGAGTGTGGCCAGAAGGAGCAGCCTGGAAGAGCTGACTGCCTACCTTCACACATTAGTAGTTCTTTTATTTCTCAAGGAGCTGAAGTGGTTTTTGATTGAGTTTTACATCACAGTAAAACAAAAAGTGGTAAAATGCAGATAACAGTCACCAGGAATAAGGCAGAGAACAGACACAGTCATCCTAAACTTGAGACACGCAGTTCCTGGAGTTGGTCCCTGCTTTTGGCTTTAGTCTGCCTGTCTGATGAGTATCTGAGAGCATCACTGTTTTCTAATTCCTGTCATAAGGAAGAGAAATTCCTGTTTCACAGGTGAAGAAGCATTTTGTAGTACTAAATTCTGAAATTTAGTACTGAGGAAAACTTGGTGGATACTAATGGTGTAGTAGAGATGTTCTAAACAGATTTTTTTTGGTGGTGTGGAACTTGAATGCTAGACAAGGACTCTACCACTGACCTATACCCTGACATCAGTGTTGTTGATTTGTTTTTGATTTTTTAAAAATTTAAAGTGGCACAGCGCCTGCCTTGCAAGTAGGAGGTTGTGAGTTCGAGTCCCAGTATCAAAAATAAAATAAAAAATATTTAATTAAACAAAAAATTTTTTTGAGACAGGGTTTCTCTGTGCAACGCAGAATGGCCTTGAACTCATTTTGTAGCCCAGGCTGGCGTTAAACTTGCAGTGATCCTCCTGCCTCAGCGTCCCAAGTGCTGGGATTGCTGGCATGTGCCACCATGCACTTATTTTAATTATTGTATTTTTTGGGGGGAGTACTGGGAATAAACTCAGACCTCATGCTTGCCAAGCAAGCACTGTGGCACTGAGTGGAAGAGTCCTTGGCCCCTGTTTTTATTTGTTAATAGCAAATAAATTTCATCCTGGTAGCCCTGGATTCTCTGATAAGTCCTGAGGCCAACTAAAGGAGCACAGCTGTGTGCCATGGGGCAGGGCGGGATGGACAAGCGGATCTGTTAGACCCAAAAATAAAGCCTTAGCTATTTAAAGAATGACTGCTGTGTAGCTTTCAGAAGATATGCCACAAATCCAGTCTCCCCTGTCATGACCAAACTTTGTCTACATACAAATTATTTTAAATATGTCTTACAAGGTACCTTGTAAGGATCAAGGATTTTTTATTTTTATTTTACTTTTTAAATTTTTACTTATTTGTTTATTTATGTATTTTTGGTACTGGAGATTGAACTCATGACCTTGCGCTTGCCAGGCAGGCACTTAGGAAGGTGAGCTAAACCCCTGGATCTGGTATTTTTTTTTTAAAATTACTTTTTATTGACACATTTTTATATGTGTGTGTGTGTGTGTGTGTGTGTGTGTGTGTGTGTATATATATATATATATATATATATATATATCATTCTTACTTTTTTTGGTACCGGGGATTGAACTCAGGACCTTGGCACTTGCCAGTCAGGCGCTTATACCACTGAGCTAAATCCCCAGCCCTATATAACATTCATTATAGGAGGTTTGACCAAACTTGTTTAATGATTTTTAAAAATATTTTTATGCTTATTTGGAAATATTTTAAAATGTACTGAAGACCTGAGCACTGTGTGCTCTTCTTCCAGGCTGTCAGCTGGTACCGTCTTTTGTACTGTTCTTCTGCACACACATACACACACCCCTCTTGGTGACACTAGGGAACAAACCCAGGTGTGCTGTACCGCTGGGCTGCGTCTTCATCCCTTATGTGTCTTATTTTGAGGCAGAGTCTCACTAAGTTTTCCAGACTGAGTTTGGGTTTGGGTTTCTCCTGCCTCAGTCTCCCCAAGTGGCTGGGTTTAGAGGTGTGCACTGTCACATCTGGTCGTGTCTGTGCTTACTACTATTACTTTTCTGAACTGTTTGAGAGAAGGTTGCATATATCATACACTCTTAAGCCAAATATCCACCTCTGTTTCCTAATAACAAGGACTTTCTCTTACATAGTCACAAGCCCTCCAGTTAAAATCAGAAAACTTTGCTTTTTGTGTTTTTGAGACAAGGTTTCCCTCTGTAGTTTTGGTTGGCTTTGAACTCACTTTGTAGTCCATGTTGGCCTTGAACTTTATTAATTCTCCTGCCTCAGCTTCCTGAGTGCTGGGATTAGTGGGATGCACCACCATTCCTGGCCCAGAAAACTTACTAATGCAATAGTATTCTCCATGCAGTCTGGAGTTCTGTGAGCAGATCTCTTGAGGGTCTTCTGTGGAACTTGGGCCCCTCCCACCAGAGCTATGCTTTGTGACATTAGCCGTTCTGTCTTCTAAGTTGCGTGGAAATCTGGAACACCTCCTTCACTTGCTTATTTATGTTTTTTTGAGACAGAATCTCGCTATGTAATTCAGATTGGCTTTGAAGTTGCTATGTAACCCAGGCTGGCCTCAGACTTGCAATGATTTCCTGCCTCAGCCTCCCAAGTGCTGGCATTCCAGGTGTGCACCACCATACCTGGTGTTAGCCTTGTTTTCAAGATGTTGACATTTTTTTTTTTTTTTTTTTTGTCTTTTTCGTTTTTATTGGTACCAGGGATCGAACTCACGACCGCCTTCTTGAAAGGCAGGCACTTATGCCACTGAGCTAAATCCCCAGCCCCGATGTTGACATTTTTAAATACCTCTTAGATACGTGGAATGTCCCCCGACTTAGGCCTGTCTGTGTTCTCTGGGAGGGGTGCAGGTATGCATTTTGTTGAGAATTTGAGCTTTCAGTGACCCTTATCAGAAGGCTTGGGATAATAGTTTGCCTCCTGCCTCGCATTCTCCTGGGGGAGTTCAACTTTTCTGTTTCCTCTGTGTGTGGGGAGACTTTCTGACTCTAGTGAGAACATTTTGTATGTTGTCTTTGTCTAACAAAGATCCATTTTTAGATTTTTCAAATGTATGTATTAGTAGCTTCTTGAATTTAAAAACTTTTTATATTTTCACTCAAATATGTGTATTGTATTTTTATCCTTTTTTTTTTTTTTAGTGATTTAACTAGTTTTTTTTATTTTTTATTTTTATTTTTTTTTTTTTTGGTTCTGGGGATCGAACTCACAACCACATGCTTGCAAGGTAGGCGCTTAAGTCTGCAGCCCCAACTAGTGTGTTTTTTATTTTGTGGATCTTTTCTCAAAGAACAAGCTTTGGGGTTTATTAGTTTTTTTTTTTTTTTTTTTAACTTTTTTTCCTCTTTTTGTTAGGGGGGTGTTTTTGAGACAGGGTTCAGGCTGTCCTTGAACTCCCAGTGATCCTCCTGCCTCAGCTTCCCAAGTGCTGGGATTATAGCTGTGCACTACCATGCTCAGTTTAACTCATTTCTTTGCTTGTCATCATTTCTTATTTTGTATTTATTTTTTCTTAAAATTTCTTCACCAAGATCTTTTATTTTTTAACTAAAAAAAAAAAAAATGTGGAATGCTTCACGAATCTGCGTGTCACCCTTGTGCAGGGGCCATGCTAATCTTTGTATTGGTTCAGTTTTAGTGCATGTGCTGCCAAAGCGAGCACTATTTTGCATTTCTTTTGTTTTCCAGCTTTCGTTTCTGAGTAGGATGTTAAGTTTTTACTTTTTCTTTATATTGAAAAGGTATTTTGTACTATAAAAATGAGCAGATACATTCCGTATATTAGATTTGAATTTTTTTGTTATTACTTCCAATACGTTTCTTTTCATTTTGACTTTCCTCTTTGGCTCAATTTTTTTTTGTACCAGCGATCTAAGTCATCTAAGACCCTGCACTTACCAGGCAAGTGCTTGAGCCCCTGAGCTAAATCCTTGGCCTGGCCCAATGTTCTACAAGTACTAATGTTTTAAAAATATTCAGGCAGAGCTGGACCTGGTGGCACATGCCTGTTGTCCCAGCTGGAAAGGCAGGATCACCGTGAGTTTGCGGTCAGTCTAGAGTATGTGGTGAGACCTGTCTAAACACACACACACACACACACACACATACACACACACACACACACACACACACACACAAAACAGAACTGCATCTGTCAGTAAGTATAAAAGAGTTTAAATCATCCACAGAAGGGCCTTTTCAGATTGACTAACAAAGGAAAAAATCCAACAATATATTGACTCTGGAGAGAAAGCCAAACTGTGCAGAGGGGATAACAAAAGGCCAATCAAAGACGTATTCCAGGCCCATGGTGAGAGGTGGTCTGCAGCCGGCAGCTGACAAAGTCCAGCTCAGAAGGGAACACCCAGAGATGGCCACTCCTAATGGTGAAGCCGTGACCCAAGCAAAACGCAGGCTACTTACATGTAACTTTTTAAATTTCTACTCTTAGTCCAGCCTGGATAGAAGGGTACTGTTTGTGATTTTTACTTTGAACTTCATTTCCTTGTGGTCCAAGATTGGTTTGTGGACGTGCTGTATGTTTAGGGAAAGAAAACATTACGTCTTGCATTTGGTCAGACACTGTATGAACTACCTTAGCTTTAAATTTTCCCGTTTTGTTCTTTTGGTCTGCTCACGCTATCTTCAACTGTTGTGTTGTGCTCTTTTATTACTACTGTGTTTATTTCTCCTTAGATCTGCAGTTTCTTTCTTTCTGGTACTGGAAATTGAACTCTGGACCTTGTGCTTCCCAGGCAGGTGCTTATGCTGTTGAGCTGTATCCCTGGCCCTTGCAGTTTCTGCTTTCTGGGAGTTGTTGCTGCCCTTTTTTGGGGGGGTCTTACATGTAAGTAACTTGTATCTTTGCTGAGCTGTCGCTTCAGTGTGATAGCATGTGCCCTGTGGAAGTGAACGCGGTTTCAGTGTTGTAGAGTGGCTGTCTCTCTTGTGTTTCTGAGCTGGTTTCTGTGTGCTTGCTGCTTCTCATTTGCAAGTTTGCCTGGTGCGTATCTTTGCTCATCTCTGTTACCCTCTCTGCATTGTTTGCTTTGTCAGTAAGAGCCAATAAATTGTTGAGTTTTTCTTTGTTAGCCAATAGGAAAAGGCCATTTAATGGGTGACTTAAGTGCTTTTACACTATTGACAGATGAGTTAAACATACGTGCATTCATTGATATGGCCAATATATTTGGTCTCAGTTTTGCCTTATTGGTTTATATTTATATCATGTAAGAATAGAATCTTTTGTTATAGTCATTTTTTAAATTTGAATATTTTTTGGACACTTCAGGACAGGCTATTTTTTTTAATGTAATGGTTACCGTGCTCTACAAGGGATGATTTAAAAATGTGATGAATGTTTAAATAAAAAATAACTATTATGGTAAAAGAGGCATTGTCATTAATTCCCTGTATAACTCTCCTCCCTGTTTCAAGTGCAGTTAAGCCATCATTCTTGCCACTTTCTGAAGTTGTTCTGGAAATCGGATTTTGTGAGTGTCTCTCTGTAGAGTGTCTGTCTGTACATGTGATCGAAACACTTGGTGACTGTGCTGCTGTGTGCCGTCCAGGGGGAAGAGAGCGCAGAAGAAGGGCCTTGCAGCATGCCGTCATCCAACGTATTTACGGGGTTTTGCACTGAGTGAATTAGGGCTTTTCCCCAAAGTAAAAATGACAAGAGGGAAAATCAGGACAACGAATTAGCCAAAATAGTGCAGCAAAGGCACTCATGATCGAGGACCTCCAGAACTGCTTCAGAAAGGGGCAAGAATGATGGGATAAGTGTGTTTGAAGTGAGGGGAATTTTTTTTTTTTTTTTTTTTGGTAGCAGGGATCAAACTCACAGCCTTATGCTTGCCAAGCAGGCACTGTGCTGTGAGCTATATTGCGAGCCTGAAGGGGATGATTTTGAAGGAGATTAATGGCAGTTTGTCTTTTAATGTAATTATTTTTTCTTTTAAACAGTGAATTTCAGGGCTGGGGATTTAGCTCAGCGGCATAAGCACTTGCCTTGCAAGCAGGTGGTTGTGAGTTTGATCCCTGGTACCAATAAAAAGATTTAAAAAAAAAAAAAAAAGGAAAAAAACAGTGAATTTTCAGATTATACCTTGTGTGCTCCTTTGTGTTTTCTTCTTTCCTGACTCAACTGCACAGTCATAAAACCAGCTTGTACTCTTCCTTTCCTTTTTCCTGTCCTCTGATTTGGAGGAAAAAAATTTTCCTTTTACTTTCTCTTTTTTTTTTTTGCCTTTTTCCTTTTTATCGGTACCAGGGATCGAATTCATGACTGCTTGCTTACAAGGCAGGCGCTTATGCCGCTGAGCTAAATCCCCAACCCCTTTTTTTACTTTCTTTGTTTCTTTTTTTTTTTTTCTTCTTGTGCTGGGGATTGAGCTCATGACCTTGTGCTTGCCAGGCAGGCACTTATGCCACTGAGCTAAACCCCGGCCTCCTTTTACCTTCTAATTAATAACTACAGGCAGTCAACAAGCTTGTTTTTTGTGTGCATTGTTTTTGAGTTGTGTTGAATCTATGAGATTGAAGCTGTTTATTACTACATACTTCCTGCCATGCTCCCACCTGAAAAGCTTCATTCATGAGAAGTTCTCTAAATCATTAGTAACATTGATTTTAACTTGTAATGCATGTCCTTTTCATACTGAAAGGTTTTTAATACTTTGTTGGACATATGGTAGTATGAATATATATAGTCACATAACATTTCTTTTTTGGAACTTCTCAAAATGAACAAACTAAGTCAAAAATAGAGTAGAAGCAGTGAAAATTCATATACGCTTATGGAATTTACAGTAAGATGTGAACCTATGTGTGGGTGCGCACTGAGATGTGACGTATTTGCCCCTGGCTGAGTGCATGTGTCTTAGCGTTAGTGATAGACCTTCTGGAGAGGTGGTGGTGAGGGGTGTGTGGACCGTTGGCAAGGGGGCAGATTCTGCCAGTAGAAGCTACTCATCCCTGCACCTGGCAGCGTAGCATGCAGTGCCAGAAGAGGGATCTGCCTGGATGCTGTGTGGAGGCCTTCGCTGTGGCCTCCTGAAGGAGCAGCTTATAACCTAGGCAGGAATTGTTAGTATCTCAGGTGAACCAGTTCCTCTTAAGCCCCGTCTGCATGCATTTCGATTTGGCTGTGTAGCCAGAACAGAGGAGTTAATGGGGTTCCTGGGAAAGTGTAGACCCTCAAGTCCAGGCCCTGGCTGCCTGCTCTCCCATGAATTCTGCTGCCTTTCTGCTGTAAACACTCAAAAGAGCTGAACAGAGATCACAAGCCATAGATCTTCACAAGTGGGGAGCAGGTCCAGAGAGAGCCATGTCCGTTTACCATGGAGAGTTGAGCAGAAAGGTCCTGACCTGGGACCTGTACATAGACAATAAGAAAAGGAACATGGCAAGCCAAGTAGATGAAAAATGTACTTTGCAAAAAGGAGCACTTGGGAATCAGAGTACCATTGTAGACAAAACCATCTTGCTTTCAGAAAATATAGGCAAGCCAGGCACTGTGGCACACACCTGTCAGCCCAGCACTGGGCAGGCTGAGGCAGCAGGATTGCTGTGAGTTCCAGACCAGCCAGGGTTACAAAGTGAGCTCAAGGTCAGCCTGAACTGCATGGTGTGACCCTGTCTTAAAAAGACAAAAAAATAATATGTGTGTGTGTGTGTGTGTGTGTGTGTGTATAGGCAACATGAGCTAAGTAAAGTGAGAGAGCAAAGAAATAATGCAGAAGATTAAAGGGAAAATAAAAGGAGTGTTTGCTAGTGAGCTGGCATCCTTAAGGAAGAGTGAAAAACTTTCACAAATGAAACTCGTGTCAGGCGGCAAGTTGTCACAGAGCTTCAGAAATCGGGATTCCATGGAGGCTTAGCTTTGGGACATTACATAGACCACAGTGGGAGGGAACAGAGATGCAGTGGTGATTGGAGAGATGACACTGTGCGAGGCAGCCCTAAGCATACACCTTAGGCAAGGCTGATGTTCCTAAGGATGAGAGCAGAGCAAGTGGAAAGAAAACATGGTGAATGAGTTTGCTTGGAGTAGAGTCATTAATTATAGCTGTGTAGACACAAAGGCACACTGTGACCTGGAAGAAATGCAGTCAACAGTCACTACTGTGGACACCTGTCCTGATGAATATACTGAACTTGAAAGATAAAGGTCTTGTACATGTATACGCAGGGGAATGGTGAAATCTGTTCAGTCTGGAACTTTTCAGCCTTCCTGAAGATGAGGGAGCAGTCTTAAGCATATAGGGGAAGTGGTGTGGGGAGGCAGGCATTAGATTGAAATGTCTATAAAGTGCAGCATGGTGACATTTTCAAATATGCAAAAGCATTTGTAAACCTCATTGCAAAGACTCCTTGCAGATAGAACCCAGCTAACTGAAACATGAATTGGTGAGGATTCCACAAATGGAGAGGTTGAAATAGGGAAATAACAATCTGGTAATTGAGTAAATATTGATTTAACCTTAAAACTACCAACATAGGTGATTGGAGCTGGGCATGATGGTATATACCTGTAGTTCTTCCACTCCAGAGGCTGAGGCAAGAGGATTACTGTGAGATTGAGGCCAGCTTGGGCTACATAGTTAGATTTTGTCTCCAAATGAACAATCAGCAGTCAACACAATGATAACCCGCCATAGA